ATCAGCATCGTCATCATCATCATCATCGTCATCAGCATAATCATAATCAACATCATCATCGCCATCACCAACGCCGCCATCATCATACGCAGAATCGAAATCATGTTCATCGTGATCACCATCAGCATAATCAGCATCATCAGCATCATCAGCATTATCGCCGCCACCATCATCATCAGCACCATCATCACCATCACCACCACCAACAGCAACAGCCCTAACACCACCAGCAACGACAACAACAGCAACAGCAGCAACATCTACATGAATAGCAACAGCATCAACAAGAGCATCATCCCGAACTCCTACTCCTACTCCTGCTCCTACTCCTACTACTACTACTACTACTACTACTACTACTACTACTACCACTACTACAACAACAACAACTACTACTACTACTACTACTACTACTACGACTACGTATTCGATTACTACGTCATATACGTCGTCTTATTCTTCATCCACAACAGCAACTACTGCTACTACTACTACTACTACTGCGGCGACCACTACTACTACTACCACTACTACTACGACTACTACTACTACTACTGCTGCTACTACTAAGACTACTACTACTACTACTACTACTACTACTACTACTACTACTACTACTACAACTACTACTACTACTACTACTACTACGACTACTACGACTACGGCTACGACTACGACTGCGACTACGACTACGACTACGACTACGACGACGACGACTACTACTACTACAACTACTACTCCTACTCCTACTCCTACTACTCCTACCACTACTACTACTACTACTACTACTACTACTACGGCTACTTCTGCCACGACGGCGACTACTACAATTACGACTACTGCTACTACAGCAGCAAAAAACGACAACAACACCAACAGCAACACCACCAACACCACCACCACCAACAACAAAGGCGTCAACAGAAACAGCACCAGTGTCGGCACACCAGTCCCAGCATCATCATCACCATGGACATCACCATCGTCATCGCCATCGCACCATTCACAAAAAGAGGAGGCAAACTCACTGAGTCGCCCTCGTTCTGGCACGTGGATCATCACGGCCACGATCGCCGCCACCACCACTGTTTTGGCACACCTCCTCTGTGACCCTATTCATCTTCCTCCGCCGCCGCCTGCTCTTCCGACGATATCGACACCTGGAGGAAAACACATAGGCTCAAACATAAACTGTCGAAGGCCTAACCGCAATCCGAAAGAGTATACTTGTGTAATGTGTGTTGCATAATTCGGCTGCCGTTTCCACCTGGACCTTCCCTCCCTGTATGCGCGCTTGACAGAGTTCCGCGAGGCAGACTACGACAGGCGGCAGCGACGCAGGAGCGAGGGAGGGAGGAGGGGAGATGATAGGCAGCAGAGGAGGTCGGCAGGAGAGGGAGGAGGAGGAGACGAGCGTAGAGTGCGGGCGCGTAAAAGGAGAAGGAGAAGGAGCAGAAGCTCTGAGCCCGTCGCTCCATAATCTCTCACTCTCTTCCCCTGGCGGCGGGCGTGGGGGGCGGGCCGAGCAGAGAGACGGCACACCGCATCCCACCAAAATCTGGGAAAAAACATGATCGACCCACGAACCCGGAAAGGAATATAGAAATGTAAGGCATGGCAACGTTTCAACGACTCCTGATTGGGCGACGGGCGAATCCACTGCTGAATGTATCGATCTTGATGTACTGTGCCGAAGGCTGTGCTGTGCTACGCCGTGCTGAATTGCGATGTGCCATGCAACGATTGTGCTCTATGTAGCGTTGTGGATCGAGTCCTCCCTGGCATCCGAGTCCTGACCGAACTGATCTGGATCTTAAGCTCGAGCTGCCTGAGCAGATGGTAGCTGCCCCAGAACTAATCGACAGAGGAGACATGCCTGGAGGACGCGCCGCGGAACGTTCCAAAGGACGCGGCAGGCGACGTGCCAGGGGACGTGCCCTGGGCACGCACCGCGGGACGTGCCAAGGGGACTCGCTACGGAACTTGCCAATGGACGTGCCGCGGGACGTGCCAGGGTCACGCCGCGCGACGTGCCAGGGGGACTCTCCATGGAACGCGCCAAGGAACGTGCCAAGGTGCAATATTGAATATATCGATCTTGATGTACCGTGCCGACGGCTGTGCTGTGCTGGGCCGTGCTGAACTGCGATGTGCCATGCCGCGATTGTGCTCTCTCTCTCTCTATATATATAGCGTTGTGAATCGAGTCCTCTTTGCATCCGAGTCCTGACCGAACTGATCTGGATCTTAAGCTCGAGCTGCCTGAGCAGACGGTAGCTGCCCCAGAACTAATCGACAGAGGGACATGCCTGGAGGACGCGCCGCAACGTCCTAAGGGACGCGGCAGGCGACGTGCCAGGGGACGTGCTATGGGCACGCACCGCGGGACGTGCCAAGGGGACGCGCTATGGAACTTGCCAGTGGACGTGCACCGCGCGACGTGCCAGGGGGACTCGCCACGAGACACTCCGCGGAACGTGCCAGGCAACTTGCCAAACTGCAATGCTAAGGGTATCGATATTGCCTGTACCGTGCCAAGGGCTGTACTGTGCCTGGGCAACCTGGACACGTGAAAACACTCGTTTCGCTCAAGACGCTCTCAGCACATCCTCATACTAGACATCCGCCTGGGCAACCTGGACACGTGAAAACAAGCGTCTCGATCGAGACTTCCTCAACACATCCTCATGCTAGACATCCGCCTGGGCGACCTGGACACGTGAAAACAAGCCTCTGGTTCGAGACATCCTCAACAAATCCTCATGCTAGATATCTGTCTGGGCAACCTGGAGGCGTGAAACCAAGCGTCTCGCTCGAGACATTCTCAAGACCAGGGCACGGGAAAACAAGCATTTCACTTGAGAGATCCTCTGAATTCTGGTCCCCATGAGAGGACAATCTATAACAGAAAACAAGCGTTTTGCTCGAGACATCCTCAACAAATTCTGAAACAGAAGCGTTTCGCTCGAACCATCCTCAATTTTTTATTCGCCTCGAGCCCACCTCGACCTCAATATTTATCGCAAACAACAATTCACCAGCCCACCCAAAGGCAAACCCACGGGGAAACTAACTACAAGAGAACCCTGGGCTTAAGCCCTTTCAGGGAACATCACAGCTGTCTTCACAATCGTTCTCTGGCGGTCTGGGGCGCTCTGGGGCGCTCTGGTGGGAGCAGGAGGAAAGGCACTGCTTGTGCGGGGGGTGGAGATATTTGCCGCCTTCTGAAGCAACCGTAGAAGAATTTCTAAGAAGGGGTCAATCCCCTTTGAGAACCCCCTCGCATTCTCAAAGGCCACATTCCGCGTGCCGCAAATCTCAGTCGCCCACCTCGCCCCCCCCGGTCTGCCAAGCAAACACCCTAGTATGACCGGCAGAAGGCACTCGACGAGTGCGCGCGGCACCGCATTCGGAGCGCACCCAGACGAAAGCGCTAATCGACGTCCACAAGCTACCAAATGTGTCCGGCAGATCACAGGACGGCTGGCAAGATCGACGAGGGACCCAACCAATACACTGCAAATTGTCGATGTCGGAAACATGATCGACCCACGAACCCGGAAAGGAGCATAGAACTGTAACACATGGCAACGTTTTCAAAGACACCTGATTGGGTGACGGGCAAATCCAATGCTGAGAGTATCGATCTTGATGTACCCTGCCGAGGGCTGTGCTGTGCTGCACCGTGCTGAATTGCGATGTGCCATGGCGCAATTGTGCTCTATAGTGTCGTGGAGTGAGTCCTCCTTTGCATCCGAATCCTGACCGAACTGATCTGGATCTTAAGCTCGAGCTGCCTGAGCAGATGGTAGCTGCCCCAGAACTAATCGACAGAGGAGACATGCCAGGAGGACGCGCCGCGAAACGTCCCAAGGGATGCGCCAGGCGACGTGCCAGGGGACGTGCCATGGAGTCGCACCGCGGGACGTGCTAAAGGGACGCGCTACGGAACGTGCCAATGGATGTGCCACAGGATGTGCCAAGGGACGCGCCACGCGACGTGCCAGGGGGACTCGCCGGGGGACGCCCCACGGAACGTGCCAAGGAACGTGCCAAGTTGCCATGCTGAATGTATCGATCTTGATGTACCGTGCCGAACTCTGTGCTGTGCTGCGCCGTGCTCAGTTGCGATATGCCATGCCGCGATTGTGCTCTATAGCCTCATGGATCGAGTCCTCCTTTGCATCCGAGTCCTGACCGAACTGATGTGGATCTTAAGCTCGAGCTGCCTGAACACATAGTAGCTGCCCCAGAGCTAGTTGACAGGGGAAATGCCAGGAGGACGCGACGCAGAACGTCTCAATGGACGCGCCAAGCGACGTGCCAAGGAACGTGCCACGGGAACGCACCGCGGGACGTGCCAAGGGGACGCGCTACGGAACGTGCTGGGGACAAGCGTTTCGCTCGAGACATCCTGTGAAAATCCAAGACGATCCTTGCAAAACGAATTAGTCGAGATATCCTCGAAATTCCTGCGCGCGGGGCGCGGCACGCGCGAGACATCCTCGGACTTCCTGCGAGCGGGACGTGAAAACAAGCATTTTGCCTGAGACATCCTCTGAATTCTGGCCCCCCACGAGGCCCCCCCGCTCGAGACGTCCCTCAATTTTGCAAAAGGAGTGTTTCGCTCGAGACATCCTCTACAAATTATGACAAACAAGCATTTCGCTCGAGATATCCTGTCAAAATTCAAGGACATCCTGGAACAACAAACGAATATTAGTCGAGACATCCTCGAAATTCCTGCGCGCGGGACGGGGTCGACTTTCCTCGAGCGGGCACGCGCGAAACGCATTTGTTTCATGCCGAGTTTGACTTTACCTTGTTTTTTATCGAGCGGAATTCCGCCGGCCCCCTTCAAGTCAAAACCGACGGTAAACAAACTAAAAGAGAACCCTGGGCCCGCGCCCTTTCCGGGAAAACAGTGTAGAGTTTCTGGGTCGCCTTGTCTGTGTGGGTGTTCTCCTCTGGATGCCCGACCACGGGTGGCCACGGCGCGC